TATGTGAGGTGGTTAAGATGTTTGTTTTTTATTTTTATTTTAAGTGATGCTTTCTATCAGGGTTAGCCAGGAGAGGTTTTCGCTGAGATGATCATGTGCATTTGTTGTTGAAGAAAGTTCAGATGATATCAATTCTGTGAGTAGGTTCTTCCAGTGGGCAATGTGTATGGTTTTTTTTGTCTTCCAGTTTATGAGGATTGTCTTCTTGGCGATTGTGAGGGCAATAAGCAGAAGGCGGGTTTGTGGGAGTGTGAGGTTCAATGCAGTTGTGAGGTTCAATGCAGTTGAAAGACACCGATTTTTAAGAACACTGACCTTTAAAGACACTGACCTTTAAAGACCCTGACCTTTAAGAACAATGGGCCTCATTCACGAATAACTTCGTAAGAAACTACTCAACTTTCTTCTCAAGTTGTCCTTAAGTAGATTTCTAAGAAATCCCTACGTGGGATTCATCAACGCACTCGTAATGCGCTGAATTGTTCGCAGCTGTTCTCTCAGATTGATGAATCCCATTTCCTCGTAAGTACAGCGCGCGTGCCAGGTGCTTCATTAGCATAGGTACTTAGCATAAGTAACCGCCCACTAATGCCCATATAAGGGACTGCAGGGCCGTGTGCAGACGGCAGAGGAAACAGCAACAGGCCTAAAGCAACAGGCCACGGAGCAAAAGAGTCACCCTTTTTTCTTCTTTTACCAGACTGAGAATAAAGTTATAAAATGTTGACTTAAAAGTCGAAATATTATGATAATAAAGTCGAACTAGCAAAATTATGAGATTAATCTAAGAATATGATGAGATTAATCTCAAAATGTTATGAGCTTAATTTAAAAATATATTATGTATTATTTTAAAGATGAATCTCAAAATGTTTTGAGATTAATCTCAAAATATTTTGGACCCTGGGAGGAGATCCAGCGCGGACCAGCGCTGAGACCAATGCAGACCCGAGGAGAGACTGGAGTGACCAGCACACAGAAACCAGCGCGGACCTATAGGAGAGACCGCATAGACTGTAGACACCTGACTGGAGAGACCGGTGCGCAGAGACCAGCGCGGACCGAAGATAGACCGCATAGACCAGACTTGAGAGACCAGCGCGGACCCGTATGGATCCAGGAGCATGCAGGAGCACCCGTATGGAGAGACCAGTGCAGACCCGTATATGGGAGAGACCAGTGCAGACCCGTCTAGATCCATGGGAGAGACCAGTGCAGACCAGTATAGATCCATGGGAGAGACCAGTGCAGACCCGTCTATCCATGGGAGAGACCAGTGCAGACCCGTATAGATCCATGGGAGAGACCAGTGCAGACCCGTATAGATCCATGGGAGAGACCAGTGCAGACCCGTATAGATCCATGGGAGAGACCAGTGCAGACCCGTATAGATCCATGGGAGAGACCAGTGCAGACCCGTATAGATCCATGGGAGAGACCAGCGCAGAGACTCAGCGCGGACCCAGTAACCTCCTGCAGCAGCAGTATATATGCCGTTGTTCTGTGGCCCGTGGATAAAGAAATGCCCCCTATAAATAGGAAGGGGTCACTAATACACGGCAAGATTTCCAATGTATTTGATAAAGCGTTGGCATATTTCATTTCAAAATGAATTAAAAAGTAGGCCAGATCTGCAGTGAAAAAGGCGGTATATAAATAAAGATTACTAATAAAGATTACTACAAATAAATAAATACATACATCGATATGACGGACATATCACTGGAATGTTGTATTTTTATTCAACTTCACCAAAGAGGACAACCTCGGCGTGTGAACATGTCGGCACTGAATGCGTACGAGTGCTCCTGAGGACTCGTAGGATTTGTACTTGCCCAAGAGAAATTCTGGTTACGAGAAATATTCGTGAATGCCACTTTCTTCGTAAAAACCGCGTAAGTAGGATTTACGTACAAATCTGTTCCTAAGAACCGTTCGTGAATGAGGCCCAATGACCTTTAAGAACACTTACCTTTAAAGACACTGACCTTTAAGAACACTTACCTTTAAAGACACTGACCTTTAAGAACACTGACCTTTAAGAACCCTGGCCTTTAAGAACACTGACCTTCAAAGACCCTGACCTTTAAGAACATTGACCTTTAAGAACACTTACCTTTAAAGACACTGACCTTTAAGAACACTGACCTTTAAGAACACTTACCTTTAAAGACCCTGACCTTTAAGAACACTGACCTTTAAAGACCCACTGACCTTTAAAGACCCTGACCTTTAAAGACCTTTAAAGCAGGTATTATTTGTTTGTAGCCTCCAAACACCTTTAGCTTTAGCAAACAACAGCAGGATACGCTTTGTCGCTGCGTGATGAAAGCTGCATAACTTGATTTTGATTGACGCTGTCAATGTCTGGGACAAAAATACAAACTTAATTAAATATATCATATTTTTTCCAGAATCTTCTCCAAACACAATCTAACAAGTAGTCATTTTGAATCAAATCAAATATTTAAGGGCTATATCATTTTTTTGTGGTTGAAAA